AGGAGGGGGGAGCAGGAAGCTCACCTGCCCTCCGCTGCTGGGCTGTCACCTCATCCTCACTCCCAGGGGAGGGTGTCCTTGTTGTCATTCACTTTCCACTGATAAATCGGGCACAGAGTGGGTGAGGCAACTGTCCCAGGCCACACAGTGAAGGGCAGCACCCCAGCTGGGATGCAGGCTGGTGGCTCCTGTGCCCAGGGCGGGACGGGCTCTCCCTGTTCTTGGCCGCTTTACAAGGAGGTGGGGCCATGTAATGCCCAGGGGCCTTGGAGACCTGAAGCCACTGAGGGGGTTAGCTCCAGGTGGGCTGTCCCCTGCTGAGGGGACAAAAGGAGTTTCTCCTGAGTGCTCAGTGCCCCAGAAGAGGAGACATTGACAGGAGTCCCCCATGTCTCAAGCGGCCTCTTTAGTCATCAGGCTGATGCTGCTAAAGCGCAGCAGAGCCCCAGAGCCCTGCCCGGTGGCGGGGAGCCAGCCATGTCTCAGCCAGGTCCCAGCTCCATGCCAGCTCCCACTTAACCTGACTTAACCTCTAGTCCTGTGCTGTGAGCAACAGTGGGTCCCACCCCCAGCCTGGGGTCCCCTCTGCCCCGGGAGGTGGGCCCAGGGCTGCGTGCACTTCCTGCAGGAGTCACCGAGCCAGTGCCCCTCCTGCTGGGCTCCGGAGGCTCCAGCAGGGACCCAGCTTGAAGCACCCGGAGCCAGTTCTTGGCAGGAATAAAACCCCAGCTCAGCTCCCTCCTGCTCTAAGTGAAAGCACCGCTTGGTGAGCCAGACCTCCAGGCTCAGAGTGTTGCTGCAGTTGGGGTGGGGGCCTCGTCAGCAGAGCCTTGGAGCCGGCCTGGCTGGCTTTTCCATCAGACTGGGCAGAGGGGGCTGCCCTCTCCGAGCCCACCTGGCACGGGGTCAGCCCACGAGGGGAGTGTCTGTGACCATACCCACTCCCAGGTTGGGCTGGAACCTGAGATGGGGCCAGCGATTCGTTCACAAGGCCCCCTCCCCCAGCACTAGTCCCCACCCCATGGGACCTGCACGGAGCCTACTTTCCCAGGAGTGCCACCTGCTGGGGACCCGGTGCCCCTCCACCCCGCCCCTCAGCTGCGTGGTCACAGCAGAGTTCAGGTGCTGCAGCCCCTAACTCGGGCCAGGCTGCCCAGCTCTCCACCCGGAGTTTGAGGGACAGGTCTCTGCTCGGGCCCAACTGGTCACGGAACCCGGGCCACGTGGCAGCAACCGGAGAGGACAGGCGACCCCGAGTGGAGGGGTGGGTCCTGAGCTCCTGACGTCCCGTCTGTGGCTCGCTGACACTGGCTCTGTCTGGCTATAGGTGACGTCAGGCTCGTGGGGCCAGCGGGAGCCTGGCCCCCCCCCCGAGTGGCAGGCCACAGAGGTGAGGCCTGAGGAGTTCTGAGGGCCGGTCCCGGCGACCGTGTGCAGGCGGCAGCTCAGGAGCCCCAGTGGGACCGCGTGGAGGAGAAGCCTGTCCCTCGAGCCTTGTGGCCGTGGCTTGTGCCCCCCGACCCTGGGGTTGCAACATGGGCGGTGGCTCTGATGTGCCTCCAAGCACGTGCCCACGATGCACCTGCCAGCAGGTTCTAACACTTTGTCAGGCCCGGGGCTGGTGCCTGCCCCTCCCGAGCCATGGTCCGCTGGCCTGTGCGGTGGAATAGCCGCGTCCTCGGGCCCAGCCCTTTGGGCCCTTTCCCTTCCTAGCCGAGCCGCTGCCCCCTCCCGCCCTGCACTGAAGTCCCAGCTGCTGGCGGGACCTGGGCAGCCCAGCCAACCACCCCGATCAGATCACAGAGGGCAGTGGGTTTCCAGGGAAACGAGA